CCGGAGCTTTGTATATGCTGCCGGAGAACCCCCCCCACCCACTTTTGTGTGTGCCAGCACCGCAGCCGTCATGCCCCCCGTGTTCCCCATCCCGTTGGTGGCTCAGCATCGTCATTGCAAAGCGAGGGGGGGACATGGCAGGGGTGAGCCAGTGGCAGGGGTGCGGCCCCCTCCTCCCTAACCCCCAGCTCTCTCACAGCTTGGCTAACATCCCCTTGACTCCGGAGACCCAGCGGGACCAGGAGCGGCGGATACGCAGGGAGATCGCCAACAGCAACGAGAGACGGCGGATGCAGAGCATCAATGCTGGCTTCCAGTCTCTGAAAACCCTCATCCCACACACGGACGGGGAGAAGCTCAGCAAGGTGAGTGGGATGGCACCGGGGCTGCAGCCCTGCGGGTGGCTAACATCCCCTTGACTCCGGAGACCCAGCGGGACCAGGAGCGGCGGATACGCAGGGAGATCGCCAACAGCAACGAGAGACGGCGGATGCAGAGCATCAATGCTGGCTTCCAGTCTCTGAAAACCCTCATCCCACACACGGACGGGGAGAAGCTCAGCAAGGTGAGTGGGATGGCACCGGGGCTGCAGCCCTGCGGGTCGCAGGTGCCAGTCCTGCGTGTGGGGGCTTTCGGCGTTGCTTGTCAGGCAGGACAGGGCTGTAAGACTAATTGGGAGTGTTTGCCTGTGTTAATTCAGCAATGGAGGTCTCTCCCTGGGAGGTTTCTGCGGTGGGAGCGGTTGTTTGTCGCAAGCCTGGTGTCCCAGAGCGGGGTGGCTGGGGCCGGGGTGACGAGGTGGCCCCGCTGCAGAGGGGAGGGGGTTGAGGAGGTGGCGCTCAGCAGCCGTTCGGGTTCCTGAGACCGGTAAACTGGAGGTTCACCATGGTGGGAGACCCAGGGGTGAAACGGACCCTGGATGGAAATGCCGGAGCCAGGCAAGGAGCAGTGCTGCTGCCTCCCGAGCCGGGAGGGAGCTTGGCAGGAGGGGGGTCTGGGGGGACGCTGGAGTCTCTCCTGCCTCAGTGTCCCCCCTCCCTGCTCTCCTGCAGGCAGCCATCCTCCAGCAGACGGCCGAGTACATCTTCTCCTTGGAGCAAGAGAAGACTCGGCTGCTGCAGCAGAACACCCAGCTCAAGCGGTTCATCCAGGTAGCGCCGGCCTGCGTGGCCCAGGGGCGAGAGGGGACGGTCCCGGCTGACCAGGGAGGGGATGTTGTCGCTGTTCTTTGGGGTGGGGGCAAG